CTCTTTTCATCAGGTTTTATGGGTTCTCGCATGGATATGGTTGTGGGAGGGGACAGAACACAGGCACCCATCTGGAACATATGCTCGTTACCACGATTTGGCAAATGGATCCCTCCTCCTGCCCATATGTCTTTTTCCTTTGCTGAAATAACTTCCTGAAATTTTTGGAAGCCATTGAAGAAGTAGATGCACATTTGCTATGTAGATATAAGCAGTAAGTGGGTGGCGTAAATGAGCAAGGGAAAATCTTTTATAATTCCATGCATAGGAATTCCATGTCCTGCAGACACTTTTGTCATGAGAAACCTCACTGTAGCCTATTATCCACTTCCGGACACTATAGTCTGAATAATGCAGCCTCTGAAGATACAGTTTTGGGATTCAGAAGATTCTGCCAAGAACACCAAATTAGACCAGATCTATGGATCTTAAACAATGGTACAAAGATCCCAAATGGCTCCTGGACCACTTTCATGTGAATTCCAAGCTCACAATAAAAATAAGGGAAGAAAGTGTTTAACAGCCAGAGCCTTTATCACTTGCCACAGAAGCAACGTCACCATTCAAATGTATTAATTAAGCAGTGAGAGTGGTTGCTCTAGAAATACCAACCAACATACAAAGAACATAGTTGTGTGCACAGTTCTTCCATGGGAAAGAAAGTTGTCCACAAGCTACAATTCAACACATCCAGAGGCCACCAGATTCGGAAGGATGGTGCACATACTTTTATTAATAGCATCAGCAAAGATTGCAGTGGCTGAGTTCTGAAATATTTAATTTTACAAGAAGAGAACACTCAATAGATGGCAGGTAGGCAACCTGGGGGAATATCCAATGGTGCCTTTCCACAATCTTAAATGGTGTTAGCAGAGATCTCCCAACACTTTGTTTTGTTCGGGCACTTGGTTGTTTCTGCTACTGCAAAGTCATTTATTCTACTGGAATGAGAGTTGATGGCTGGCTTTGTGGCCTTCCAGAAGTTTTGGCCTACAACTCCCATCAGCCCTATCTAACATAACTGATGGTAAGAGATGATGGAAGTTGTAGGCCAGGACAACTGGAGGGCCACAAGTTGCCCACCCCTGCAATAGAGAAAATCAAGAAGTCATTCCCTAGAAGCCATGTCAATATCAATTTATGTAATAATTCAATGGTTTCCAAGCTCATGAGAGCTCTTCTTCATTGTGGTGGGGTGTTGATCCCTCTCTGTGTGTGTATTGAGTCCACATGCACACATTGACGTACAAAAAGCAGCAGCCTGTAATATCTAATTTATCAGGATCAGTCCTAATAAAGGGCAGTATATTGGTGAGCTCAAGATACAATTCTTTCTGGCTACCATGAGGATTGCAGCCAAGTTCAGAGGAAACAGGGAAGAGCAACTGAGGTGGAAGAAAATATCGTCCCTGCATGGCAGCGCTGCCGGCAAAATTGCCTTCATGAGCCACGTCTCGGCATTCTTTGGAGACGGGTTCTCAGCTGTAGAAAGCCGGCCTCAGTAGTCCTCCCATAGTCAGCAGTTTGTAAGCTGCAATCAATGACCAGTTCATGCAAGGAAAATCAATATGAATAAATATTAATCCTTTGCTGCTATTACAGACAGAATAAACAATGAATGCTTATCCGAGGAAGGAAAGTGGAATTAATGCTTTGTCAAATCAGTGGGGAGCCCCTCCTTGCATGTGATGCTATTGATGGAGCCAGATGCAAGTGGCTAAGAAAAATCTGGGGGAAATAGCTTCAGCCAGGAAATATTAATTGCTTTAAGGTGCAATCCTACATGTGTGTAGGCATAACAAATTCCTACAGTGCTGGCAGAAGAATGCTGGGAGTTATAGGACTGTACAGGCATAAGATTGTACTCTTAGGCTGCAATCCTATATACACTTACCTGGTAGTAAGTCAGTGGGGCTTACATTTGACAGACTTGTGCTCTCTGGCAATGGCACATGCAATGTGACAACTGAGCTTCCCGGAAAACCCATTCAATATTTTGTAAAAGTGTTTGTGGGCTGCAAAGAAAGTTTATGGCAATGTACAAGGTTGTAGTCAGCTGTTTAGCTGTTTTGTTTTCTAGGAAGCTCCTGGCAGACTACAAGATGCATTAGCTCTTTTGTGATAGTACGTAGCCAACAGACTGGCAGAAGATTGTAGCAGAAAATAATATCAGGAAAAGCAAAACAAAAGGCAGCGTGTATCTAGTGGTTGACCTAGCCCACCATTCAAGAATTGGGTTTTGGGAGCAAAGTCTGAAAATAGTAGCAAACAGTAGCTTTGAGCAGGGCAGAATTTCACTGACAAAATGGTTCAAGGGGAAGGAAAAACCCCCTGAGTTATGGTGCTAATCTGGACTGGGTCTTGAGGGGCTGCTGTCATTAGTTTGCGGGGAAAAAATGAAAGCGTGAGTTTCAAAGATGCTTTTAGAGTCATGTGTGATTTGATCCTGGGGGGAAACATTAGCAATGGCTTATTCTGCTGCTAAAATTGTCATCATTAGAGGAGCTGGGAAAAGAACAGCACCCTTGGCACCCACCCAGTCTAACAGATGATGACATTATCTGTTGAAGGGAACGGTGTCCAAATTAATGCTGCATTTCTGCCTTCCTGGTTTAATAGATTATTCCATCATCCATTGTGTGATGTGAAGGACAGTATTTATCTGTAGGCCTGGTACAGAAAGGGAAAAGCTTGTAAAGTATCCATGGAATGTCCTGTGAGTGAATGTGACCTTTAACATATGTTGTGGGTTAATTATCGGTCCATGATTAACTGGGTTGCATGCCATGTGCAAGTCACTGCAGCTTTGCACAATCCACCTCCAGTCAGCCAATTCAGAGGCTGTGCGTGTTACATGTGAATCTGGACACCATGACATGGTTTTCATGAAACAACAACCTGTTTATTTATATATGCATTTATTTCAGCACTGCCCAATAGTCAAACCTCTCTGGATGGTTTGCAAGCCAAGCCACAGTGGGTCATCATGTAGTCCAGGTTGTGAATGTCCTGCAGGTGGAGCTTGTTCATGGGCAACAAGCCCCCATGACAACCCATGGCAGAGTCTCATGATTTTTGTACCCACATAGGCTGTGGGTTCAGCAGTCCTGATAACTCTCTCCATCATGAGCATTAGGAATTAGTGAATGAGCAGCTAAGCAAAAGCAGGAAAACCCCTTGCCACTCTTTTCAAGCTCACCCTGGTGGCTTGCCATGGGCTGTCTGACAAAGTCTGGCCACAACAGCAACAAAAACACAAAATCAGTAGAAGTTCTTGCCATGGAGGGGGTGATCTGCTGGCCACCACCTTTCACAAGCAAATAGATCACTTTGATTTGGTTTCTTTTGATTTTAGTTTCTATTAACAGCTTGCCTTTTGCTCTCAGGAAAAAGCAAAATGAAAAATAAACATCTTTGCAGCTTCCCTGGGTGCACTTTGACAGCAGATGCCTTCCTGGACACTGTCCCAGTGAGGGTGTCCATTTTGGATCTGGGAAGCCACACAAGCGCACATTTGCACAAATCAGGATAAACAGATGATTAAAAAAATGTACTACAAAAGATGTGGAGTGTTGTACCAGTGGCAGCCTCTCCAGAGCACTGCTAACACACTTTGGAGGGCATCAGCTGTCAACTCAGCAATCCCCAGTTGTGATTGGGGGGGGGGGGGGGTTGGGGCTTGAAATCAGGGAAGGTGGGGGGGACAATGGTGGTTCGGCCCGACTGCCCCCACCCCGGTGGGAAGGGGGGGGGGGAGGGGGGGGGGGGGGGACGACCCACAGAGAGCTCAATTGGTCAGGGGCACCATGGGTTGTTTGGGAAACAATCAACTACTGTGGCTTATTGCCAGTGTTGGTTATCATAATGGGATACCTTGCCCAATGGGTGAAACATCCCAGAGTTAACCTGACAATAAATTGTCAGGTTAACTATGGGTTGTTTAAGCCATAAATAACCCATAATCATGCATCAGGACATCACACGTCAACCTTTGAGTTGTCCTGTTGGAGTTGCCATGGCAGTGAGTTTTCCACTGAAGTATTAGGGCAGCCTCTGGTAGAAACCACTTTCTTCCAGTGAAAGGGCATCCCCTTGGGTAGCCATTTACTCCTTCCCCCCCACCCCAAAAAAGAGGAACATTATTATCAAAAAGAGAGGATAAAAGAAGATGCCAATTTGCACATGCAAACTGACATGTATAGGAGTAAATTTAGAAATAACAGCTATAATTTAAATAGAAAAGCAAAACATCTCACCATAGTGGAGAAGGCTGACCAGATGAGCTGTATCCTTTCCTAAGTCTGTGGTCACTCTGCCAATGGGCTACTTAAAGGCTCCTGCTTCTTGGACTGGTCAGCCTATCAAATAGAGGATGCCTTAAAACAGAGGACCGTATTGTATACACATGAAGACACATCAACCAACAAAGCTATTCTAACAAATAGAAGAAGATACGTGGCTAGCAGTCATTTGAAACGTATTATTTGAGAACACAGTAAACAAAGCTCATTCTTCAATAAATCTATTTATCTGTTCTTCAAAATGAGACTGATGTCAATCTTCCAAATTTTGAAGCTACCATAAACTGCAGGAATGGTAAACATTTCTTTTCCAGATAGCTGATGGTGTGCAGATTCTTGCAAGCCTGTGGCCATACTCTCACATGACAATAGCAAATCATGAGTCATAACGCAGTACATTGTGCATTGTGTAAAGTGGCCAGTTGGCTACCGTACCTCACCACCCATCCAATCCAGTGCTTCCCTCACCTGCTCTCCCCAGGAGTTTAGGATTAATGCCTTACAGTGTCAACAGGACAAAAATAATCATTGATTAGAAGAATTTGGAAAGTTAATATCTCTTGAATTTTTTCTTTAAATAAAATCCTGATTCTAGCAAGTGTTGGAATGCTTAAGATAGAAAGTAAGTATTTTAAGTATTAATTGTAAAGGATAACCATAATTTTATCTTTTGTTTCACTGGACCTTTCATTCTCACAGGCGCAACTTTCTCAGGCTCTAAATGGCATTTCGGATAAAGCAAAAGAAGCAAAAGAATTTCTGGTTCAGCTGAAAAATATTTTACAGCAGATACAGGTACTTACCAGCTTCTAGCTGCTTGGGATTTTGTAGAGTGGCCCTTACAAAAATGATTGGCTAAGCATATTTCATAGCTTTCTGGATGATTTCAATGGGATGATTAAGGATTTAACTTGAACTAATGCTAAAAGCCACAATCCAGGGCTAGATCTAATTCTGTGCTAAGCTGTGGCCCACATGCTTTGGCAGAAGAGAGTATACTGATCACTGTTTTGAAATTTCAACAGTGCTAGAACAGAGTGCATCAAAGCCTGATGAAGCACCTTTTTTCTTATGTACCTGTATATTGAGACTAAGTGTGCAGTGTGGGGGGCCAGTTCTCCTGAGCAGCGCCACATTTGGCAGAGGTTCAATATGTAGCAACCCAAGAGAGCGTTTGCATGTCTTCGGTCCTAAATTCATTTTATCCAATTTCCACAGCAATCTGCAATTTAAGCAACCCAACAAATCAGTACAGATTTTTGTACACAGTGTACAAAATATACACTTTTGTACAGAATTTTCTATATAGACATATCTTTGATGCAATTTCTGAGCTGAGGACTCCCATTTGACAGATAACTGTGTTCTCATTGGCATTTTAGTCTGAGCAGTGTATATTGAATTGGTTCATTTAAGGCCTAATCTCTTCTCCTGCTGCTGCTTCATATCCCAATGTTTTTCCTTTCAAGGAACAGTTACATAATATTTCTCCTCCTCTCAGTCTTATCCAATCTTATCTTATAGCCACTAGATAATGACTAGGTGATTGTAGAATAGATCACAGTTGGGATTCCAGTATCAATTCTAAGTTTGTTTTATAGTAACATTTCTCCAAACTGAGGACGTGAACTATGTCTTCTGGCATCCTGGTAAACCTTTTACAGCAAGCTGTTAATGCTGCAACTTGTAAAGAATCAAGAAAGTTAAACCCCTTAGAAAGGGACAGAAAAACGAAATGTTAGCAACCCATTGAATAAATAAAGTGTTCTACTATAGAAATGAGCTTTTCTCTATTCTTTTTCATGTTGCCTTCCAGGAAAATGGCTTGGATTATGAAGCTTGTCTAGTGGCTCAGTGTGATGCTTTGGTGGATGCTTTGACTCGTCAGAAAGCAAAACTGCTCACAAAAGTCACCAAAGAGCGTGAGCACAAGCTAAAGGTGAGCAAACACCTCCGTCAGCACTACCCATTAGTGCACAGACTCTCTTGAGAAACTGTCCTGAGCTCAAGCCAAGATACACAAGATCAGGGATGGGCAACCAAGTGTTTTGATCTGCATGTTCTGAACTACCACTCCCATGAATCTTTGCCATTGCCTTATGCTGGCTAGAATGGATGGGTGTTGAAGGACAGAACCCTTGGATGCCAAAGGCCATTTTGTGAGGTAGCATCCCTTCGCCTCTCCTCACCTGCTGTGGCAGAGAACTCCTCCCACAAATAGGTATATTTGCTCCAGTGTAGGCATCCAGGTGCTGAGTGCCACGTGTGACTTTCTTCCACCATCCTCTAACAATCTTAGTAGAATATTGAATAACTCTCCAGCCTCAGCCCAACCAGTTGTAATGGCCACCAGTTGCCACTGACCAAAATGGTCCACCTGTGCATTAGACTGAAGACAAATGCCAAGTTATCTTGGCAAATGTTTTGAAACTACATTTGTTGGGATAAGCATAAATGCAAGGCTATATGGTAAATTTGGAGGAGGGGAATGTAGGCCAGGAAGATCCCATGCCAACAGATTAACTCATCCTGTGCTTGTAGGTGATTTTCTGCAAGTCCCCCCTCCCTATGCACCTCTCACTACCTCTGGTTGAGTTTATTCTCAGTGTCTGAACATGTTGAGTTTTAATGCTCTAAAGGGTATTTGCATGGCGAAATGAGTAGGTAGAGGAAAGGCTGAACCCACGGTTTACCTTGAATGATTTCCCCCTGCAAACGTCCCTGGACCATGCATTAGCATGACAAGAGAAGAAAAAGGTTGAACTTCAGTGCTTTCCCCATAATATCTAGTCCCATCCCAGACAGAGTTTGGAGAACTGGTACTGAATGATGCCCCTGCCTCTGAGTCACTGTAAATAAGAACAGCCTAAGAAGAGTCGTGATCAACCCAAAAGCATGGCTATGCCATAAAAACTGAGGGATGCTCTGGGCTCTTGTGTGCCTGCAACCACAAAGACCTTCATTCACGATAGTTTCTAATCAGGTTACAATTTCTTGAATGTGTTGCCTTAAAGCAAAATACAGACTAACCAAATTCATTGGCACCATTAAAGTTATGAGCAGAACACAAGAAGAGCCCTGTTGGATAAAAGCAAAGGCCCAGGAAGACAAGCATCCTATTTTCCACTGGGAAGTCCCAGGGGTAGGGGAAGGGAGCAATATCCCACTCCAGTGTTTTTCCCAGCATATTCAGAGGCACAGTGCATGTTTCTTAGAAAAAACGAATGCTAATTAATGAAAATAAGCGTGTAGGTTTCATCTGGAGTTCTTCATTTATTGCTGTAGTAGCATTAATCTGCAGAGCTACTCCTGATTAAGCCACTGGAATTTAGTTACTTTCGATCATGGGTTTGACAGTCAGAGGTTGCAAGGTCAACAAAACAAACACCCATTTGCTTGAGCATATTCAGTGGTGAACAGGAATGAGTGCAGAACATTTCACTTCTCCTGCAAATGGAGGTTTGCTGCAGGTGATGTCTTGTCAAGCTAATTATCCACATTTATATTGCAGAAGAAATAAGGGGGGGGGGCAGTGATGTGGATGGCACAGGATCAAAATGGATGCTAAAGCATATGCAGCTTAACAAACTGCTTTCTCTGGTTGCTTCTGAAATGATTTACTTAATTCCGTGGAATTAAGGACTGTCATCCACTACATGCAGAACTTTTCCCTCTCCAGGTTGTATGGGACCAGATAAATCACTGCACTTTGAAACTGCGTCAGTCTACAGGGCTCATGGAGTATTGTCTTGAAGTAATCAAAGAAAATGATCCTTCTGGATTTTTGCAGGTATTTTGTCTTCTGATTTTGAGATAAATGAGTACACTTTTACAAACGATGGCATTGTTTTGAACTGATCATTTTAACTCCACCATCTCTGTAATTTCCCCCATATTTCCTCATGATGTGCCATTCCTCTCCATGAACACAGGAAAAAGAAATTACCGCTTGGTGTAGATGTCTTGGGACTTGGTGGCTGTAATAAAGGCTGGAGCAATAACTCTCAGTTTTGAGTCCTGCGGCCACAAGCCTTTCAGTCACAGTCACCTCTGATCAGAGGTGTTGGTAGGCCGGCCCCTTTGATTTCACTCAGCATTTTTCTAGGATGGCAGCTGAAAAGGGAAAAATTCACTCTCTTCTTTCTACATGCTGCAACACCCTCAACCAAAACCTTCCTCTCCATGGTAATTAAGCTGAGGACAAAACCGTTTTCCATTGGTTTGGGATGATGTGAAACAGAGTGTAGGTTAAAACTATTTTATGAAGAATATATATTTATCTGAGATTTCAAATGGTTTGGGCAAAGCATTAGTTCATGCTATAATTTATTGTATTTGAGGCAATTCGATGAAAAATTAATTGGCTGGGTTTGTGTCCTGCAAAATGCAAATTATTCCTCTAAAGCATTTTGTAATTTTGCCTACATAGATATAAAGTAACATATGCAGATCTGAGTCCTGTTGACCTGAGCCCCAGATTTTTCAGTGCTTCACAACGCCCCTGCTTCAGACAGATTGCTCTGTAGCTTGCTTTGTATATTTGAAGGCCAGAGGTTAATTGCTTCCCTTTTAGATTTCAGATGCTTTAATCAAACGTGTCCAAGTGTCTCAGGAGCAGTGGGTCAAAGGAGCTCTGGAACCAAAAGTGTCAGCTGAATTTGATCTGACTTTGGATAGTGAACCCTTGCTGCAGTCAATTCATCAGCTGGACTTCATTCAGATGAAATGTAGGGGTGAGCTTTTGTAGATTGATTTTGTTTTTCTTTTCTATTCTCGCTCTCAACTGCTCTCTTTTACGCCAGGATTTCAACAGCAGGGCTGAGGCTGAGACAGGCCTCAGAGATGGAAAGTCTCTTATTCAGATGCAAGCCATTTTCTGTGGTGGGTTGAGCATCACTGGCCTCTCTTCCCATGACCCTAATGAGCTCAGACAATAATATTAGACATCACTAGATATCTGAGAATATTTTTAAAGCCTTCCAACTGGGACCATCTGCTCTTTTCTAAAGTGAAAAAGATTGGAAACATAGCTGCAACCTTTAAAAATAGCTTTGTTCCATTTGTGAACACTGCAAATGAGTAAGTTCAGTAATTAAAAATCAATTGCCAACATAACCTATGTTTTTAGGATGATGAGGCCAAACTCTTATCTAGCCTAGTATTCTGTTTTCTACAGAGGTAGAAAGAACCCAAACCAGAACATGAAGCCAGTGGCCCTGTTGCCAACAACCTAAACCAGAGGACTCCTACTGCTGAACAGAGAGGGTCCATATTGTCATCCTGACTAGTAACCATTGATAGAATTATTCTCCCTGTTTTTGATTAATCCCTTTGTAAAGCTTCAGTCCTATACCATCTTGCTTGACAGTCAGTTTTATTAAGCTCAGTGCGTCTTACTTTTGAGTAGACATGTACAGGATTGCACTAAAAAAAACATTGCTACAGACTGAAATGTGTGGTAGAACTGCATGGAATTATATAGATCTAGAGCAGAAATGAATTTGCTCTTTATCTTGCTTCTTTGGTGCTCTGGAGTCCCCCTGGTTAACATTCCATTGTGTGATTTATACAGAAGTAGACCTACATTGTGTAGGCCTTGTAAGACTTCATCAAAATATGCCTAGTCAAAATATCAACAAATTCCAGCCTCCTGATTTTTACAATTTTATTTCTATAAACAAGTTTGGTGTAACAAAAGTCTGCTACAATCTGCATAAGAATCCTTTTGCAGGGTACTTTTGTGACCCTATGTAAATGTACATAAAATAGTGAAGTACAGATCATCTAAGTCTTTTCTGAAAGGCAAACAGAATATTAAAATCCATGTAAAGGAAAGCTTTATTATGTTGGTTTAAAGCACACAGACCTAACTATTTTTATACAGAGACAAGGTCAATGCATTAACCTTTGTTTTGCAGATTATTAATGCATAGTGTCAGGAAAGATTAAATTTTTAATTACCTGTACTTGCTGAAAGCCACTCTTATGCTGATTGAAAATTCCTGGCTGAAACATTCAGCCAGAAAAAGACCTTTCATACGTACCATTTGCCTTGTCTGGGGTAAAAAAATGCCTCCAGATGCAATTAATGCTAGATTTATTTTAAATGCAGATTGAACATTAATTTTTTCCTGCCTGCATTTTGGTGTTGGATATTCGCTAAGATACTCTTAAGTATCTGAACATTTTATTTTGGATGTCAGAATTATACATCAGATGATATATGATTTCAGTATTTGATATTTTCTTTAGTTTTTAAGTTCAGAAGTTTATATTTAATAGTATTTGATAGCTAAGTCTTTACATGTATTTGGCAATTTGAATGGTTGCTATATGCTGGTGTAAGTATTTGTATTTATATCTGATGTGAAATAGCATTTATATTCAATATAGCATTTTAGCTTTGGACAGCATTTAATAGCTGACATATGACCTTATTCGACAACTGTTATTGAAAGTCTCACAGCAGTTGAAAGTTGACAGCTTATGTGAACCCCTAGTTGATCCTAACAATATCGAAACAAGGCAAAGTTTGTCAAGTCTAAACTCAGAATCCTATGCATGTTTCAACAAAATTAAAAAGCCCTACAATTTCCAGCCTTCCCCAGGGAGCATGTCTGGAAGTTGACAGATATTTTTATGGCTAAATGTGCCTTGGTTTGCACTGCAAAGCATTCACATTTTAGATGCACAGAATTTTAATTCTCCAAAATTTAATTTGTGCTTGAATGCAAAGCTAGGAAGAAAGTGAGGAGTCATGTGAGCATGAGAACTGAAATATGAAGACAGTATGTATGATCAGTAATGATATTGTAAAGTATGATATGTTCCATGATCAGTGCTTGCTTACAAGAAACAAATGGGTAAGGCTCAACTCAAAGCAAGATCCTTCTAGCAATATAGTAATTTCAGATACTTTATACAGCTGTACAGAATCAGGATAATATTTGCTGGTCCAGGGCACTCCATCCAGCATGTGTGGGTTTGGGACTTAAGACCAAAGGAAAGGGTGCATGGAGGTGTAGTTGTCAGCAAACACAATATTTGACTTGTGGAGCATTAGCAATGATCATGGAACATACCTGTTCAGGCATCAGCCTAAGCTTCCCATTTCCTGGCTTTGTGAGTTTGAGCTAGCATGAGAGAGCCTCAGCTCTGGTCTTAAAGTGGCAAATTTTTTGTTGATTGAATATAAAGTGAAAGAATAGTATAGCACCATGCCTTTATATTTCTATTATTTTATGTATTCATTTGTTATACCTCTATACTGCCCAATAGCCAAATCTCTGTAATGCCATAATGCACCCTCCCCAACCTGGTGACTTCCTGAAGTTTTGGACTGCAACTCCCAATAGCTCCAACCTGCATGGACACATAAGTATCAAGCATGGTGGTTTTAGTCTAGGCCAGGGGTCAGCAACCTTTAACACTCAAAGAGCCATTTGGACCCGTTTCCCACACAAAAGAAAACACCAGGAGCCGCAAAGCCCTTTTGGCATCTAAAATGAAGATAACACTGCATATATCGTTTTTCACCTTAATGCTATGTATATCTTCATTATGATTTAGCTGCAGCTCTTGTTCGGTCACTAAAAACTATTATTTTTAATCTTACATTATAAACTAGTAGGGCTCCTTTCATATATTTTGAATAGGAGAACAGCTTCCTGCAGAGTCAAAGTCAGTGCTAAAGGGCTGCATGCATTAAACAGCAAACCCCATAAGTTCCTCAGCAGTAAAAGCAAATGAATCTACTCAAGTATCATTAAACGTTTGGTTTTCTTCAGAAACTTTTCTTTTCTTTGATTTATCCAAGCGCTGTGCTGGCACAGGCTGTGGATCGGCTGGCGGCGGCCGCGGATCGGCAGCAGCTGTGATGCGAGCGACGGAGCCGCAGCAGAGGCATTCAAGAGCCACATGCGGCTCCAGAGCCACGGGTTGCCGACCCCTGGTCTAGAATATCTGGATGACACCCAGCTGGGGAAAGCTAATATAGTGCAATATATACCTTTCTGGAACTAATAGGGAGAACAGCCATTTCCAGTCACTGCCATTTTACCAAATCAGCCCTTCGATCCATCTAGCCTAGTACTGTAGACACTGACTGGCAGTGGCTTTCTAGGGTTTCAGGCTGGATTTCTTCCTAGGCCTCTTGGAGCTGCTGTGCATGAAAACTGGGATGTTTGCATGCTAAGCCTGTGTTCCGCCACTAAACTACAGTTCCTCCCTGGAGTATGAGTGGTTAATGACAGTAAGAGAAATGGTGCCCAGCACATTATACTGACTACATGTGGACTAAGTTCACTCTAGTCATTGGGCCATTTGTCCCTTGTATTTTTCTATCCCTTGATCATTCTTTGATCCTGCTTCTTTGAATCTGTATGATGCAAGTGTGGCCAAAGATCAGTGCAGGAACAAAAGGAGAAAATTTGAAATTAAAGGAATTGAAAGGCAAGAAGGGGTGAATTTTCTTTGATGAAACACATAAGGTCAAATTGCAGACAAGAAGACTTTTGCTGGTGAGAATTTCATGGTTCATAGTTGAATGCCCTTGGCATCTACCTCTACAGAAATGTTTTATACATTTCTGAGTTCTGTTCAGCCAAAGTTCATTTGATTTCAGTAGGCTTAATTCTGAGTTCCAAAGGTTCAATCTAAAGCAATTAGGTCAGCTAATTTGATGGTTAAATCCTTGGAGGGGCAAGAGAAAATGCTTGAATTTAAATGAGTAGTTAAAGGCAAAAATCTGCCTGCCAACAGGGTACTGTGTCTTGACCTAAATGGGTTATAGTAATGAAGCCACTGCCAGAAGCATTTTTGATAGTTCCCATTTGGATAAGTACAAGAGAAATTTAACAGAGCTGTGAAATCTCAGTGCTCTTCTAAACACCACCCTAAGCAATGTCTTGCTACAGATGAGGGTGGATTTGCAAAGACATGAGATAAAAGAATTGAGTCTACCTCACAACACCCTGCTGTTATCTTTCTCCTAACCAGGGCTTAGATTACTCATTATAGCAATCACATGTAAACTAGAGCCCCACTCAGCATAGACGTGAATATTGTTTTCTGGTTACGCCCTTATTCCACCGCCATCCAAATTCTGAAGAGACAAGATTCTCTTCTTCCCTGTCTTATCCTCACAAGAGCCCTGTGAAGTAAGTTAGACTGTGAGATAGAGAGTTTTAGCCAGAGTATTTCATACTTTGGTGAAGACTGAGGACTGGATTGGATCCTAATCAAATAGTGACCACCCCATCTGGACTTCTGCTATTATAGTACTTGTCTGGTACCTCTGTATAGTATGAGCTTCGTGCACCAGAGTTCAGAACATGACAACCTGGAACAATCTGGAATCTGGAACAATCTCCACTATCTTTAATCAGGTGAATCCTGACAGGGCAATCCTATGTGTGTCTACTCATAAATAGACCCACTGAATGCAATGGGGTCCACTCCTAAGTAAGTAGGCTATCTTAGTTCAAAAAGATCTCATGCCTCCTACATATGTAAAGATTCTGATAGCTTATCTGAGGCTAGCACAAGGGAAACGGACTCTTTGTGTTACTTTTGCTACCCTGCGTGAACCAGGGGACATTCCTACACTAATGCTGAATGTGAACTTTTGGTGGATTCTGCACTCTGTCTGTGTATGGAAAGCTAGAGAAAGAGCTTTGATTCAGTATGGCCCATCTCTGTGTTAGCAGTTTTCCATCTTCATTTAACT